ATAAGGACGCTAAACTGTCCACACCGGTTGGACGTCATTGGTTGGCCTAGTGTGAAGATTCGTATAAGTCGTATTCGGATTGGTAGATAAATCGTATGATAGAAAAGTCAGACATCCAAGGTCATAACAGAATTTATTTTTTCTCCAGTCATATTTATATCACCAAAGTTTTCTACCACAACTGGTATTATGACTACTTCTACTACTCTGGTATTTCTCTGTGCTGTGGATCGGGAACTTAAGCCGATATACACATATGCCAGGTTCTATATTGATTATGATAAACTGACTATCTGAAAAAGGAAGATGACTGTACTGTATCACAAATTGATTTAAAACTGAAAAATCATAGCAAACAAATTCCTACTGTGTTGTAGAGATGTGAATTTCAGTTCTTTAATCACGTAACAACACAGAACCACAGATTATTATCATTAATCAGTTAACTTGAACCGTTTTTTTTTCATAACCGAAGGTAGTAACTTGTTTACTTATAACTAAACTGCCCTGGTACGGCTGAGAGTGGGGTGAGTCCGCTCTCCCTCTCCAAATGCCCTCACATGGCGACGCGTATATAGCCTCTGCCAGGGAAGTCCTACTCACTGTCTTCTCGCAACATTACTGTTGTTTACGAAATTGAGGGGACGAAAGGCGAATGTCCGGCGCTTTAAGCTGGTTGGTAGACATGGAGTCCACCTAGGGGAGTTGGAAAAGCCTGATTCCAAATCAATAGTGCACATGGGCTCCATTATCCTGAAGGAACAAACGGCGTATGAACTAATTTTCGGTCACCGTCTACCATGGGAATGCATCTCCTTGCGACGCTCCACTGCATTGTGGATCAGACCTTCAGGTCGAAGGCTACGGGTGTGACCCCCTAAGAAAACCACCTGCTTCGGTTTGGGCACCCGGGCAATATCACAGCCCTCACACATATCAAATGAGATCTGTGTGGCGCATATGTATTTGGTGTCTCCTTGTACCAATATCTATGTGTTAAAAAAATAAATTCTTTGGATATTTGCAGATGGAATTTGTTGTTTTTAAATGATATAAGGCTTGAATCTTCTAATAGTTAAGCGCGGTTGAAAACTTTCGAAACTATTTTTCTACGGTTTTATTTTCTTATTACCCTGGTTTTAAGCTTTTATTTGAACCGTAATTTGTTGTTATAGCATCTGCCACTCATAAACTAGAATTAATTATTTGTGTAACACAGGTTCTAGTTTTCCTATTATTAATGTTGTTATTCCGTCTTAATACTGTTACCCAAATTGGTCTGCTGTGTGATTTGGTCTTATATATATGAATATGAGAGATTTAACAATCTCCGGGAGGTGAACATTGGTCTCGCGTTCGTCCTCTTCGTTCGGAGCCAACCGTCAGGCCTAGAGTATGTCTTCCAAGTCCATGATGTTTATTAGTCGCTTAAGATCGTCCACGCGTATTGGTTGGTTGTAGGACGTCACAATATGCGATACACAAGTCATTGAACTTGTATGTGGGCTGGTATACAGTCCCATGGTAGCCGGTGACCAAGATTAGGTTCGTACGCCATTTGTCTCATCAAAATCCTTGGGCCCATGTGCACCTTTACTTTGAAAAGGGGTTTCCAACTCCCCTAGATGAATCCCTTGTGCCTATTGACCGGGTTGAAGCACTGGACTTCTGCTTTTCTAAGTATGAATATTGTAAATAACACCCCCACCGCTAGAAAGCAGTGAGTAGGAATTCCCTGGCACTGGCAATATACACGTGGCCATACGATAGCATTTTGAGAGGGGGGCTCTCCCCACACTGTATGAATAATAACAATGGAAATTTTGTAAAAAAAGCTATCACCTTTGGTAGATCTTCGTCATATATGGGTGCAAGGCCTCTACAAAATCGGAAACAGCTAGTCATGCTTATTTTGGTGCTAATTATTTATGTACGAACAAGTATGTACTGTTCTTCTAGCGTTTAGTCATCTCTACCATATCAAGTCAACTTGTTTGAGTTGATAATTCGGCTATACGAGCAGTTAACACTCGATCACACTGTATCATTGCAAATCATTTAACGATCATCATTCTATTCATTTATTTAACCAGACCCAAACATTATTACTAATCATAAAATCCTCTCCAATAATAAAGAATTAGAAAAAACCATATGCTTGATGTATTTCTCACAGATACGAACTCTAATCAGTTTACTTCAAAGTCTTAGTATACTTCACTGAATAATTCTGACTTGATATTTAGTAAAATAAACTATACTAAGCTACTAAGTTGAATACATACGTCATTGTTATCCTCCGTGGTTCTCCGAGTCTGCTACTGATGTGTATGCTTTCTAGCCTAAACCGGCTACTTGAGCGAAAAAACTAGGATTGAGCATGGAATTTCTATTGTCTGATCGGACCAAATATATACTCATATCCTTCACATATAAGTATGTTTACCCTTTAAAATCAACCCACAGTTTTAACCTATAGTATATGTCTATTTTCTCAGAGAGTTACGTCAAAACATGGCCAATCAGAACCTCCCAGTCCTCATTAACTCAGATTGTTAGCCAATATTACTATAAGGGTTAGTCGTTTCTGACCAGTTCATTTAATTAGGTACGAAGTACAGACTCCTATTTACTTGGCTGTGAGCTACAAATTCTGTTGAGTGAAGGCTAACGATACAGTGTGACTACATAAACGGAAGTCGATGAAGAAGTGATAGAAAATGCCAAGTGTTTCAACTACTACACCTGCGAAAAGTAGTTATTTAGTTAACTCAAAATCAAAGTTTGTCACTTTTCTCACTTTTATTTAAATTTATCATACACATCTTTATAAAGATAATACTGATTGTTTTAACTCTCAGGAATCCACCTTCTACCAGAAGATTTACTTAATGACTTAGAATACACAGATGAAATAGTTCATTTTGGCGAAAACGTCTTCTGATCATCTTAAGCAACAGTACAAACATATTTGGTATGGACCACTTTATCTTTAAATCCAAAATGTTTTTAAGGGACTGGTGTGCGTCATGGCGAAACTAAGAACAGGTAGTGAGGTAGTTGAGCGTACGATGACCGCCTAATTTAAAAGTCTCATCAGCCTTAGTACGTTGCTGTCCGACTGGATCTTAGGCCAGATTCAGAAATCCCGTTTGGCTTTTGTCAACTTGAGTCCCATGCATAGTAGACAAGATATCCGTTTACTAACTAAAGAACAAGTATACTATGTAGCAGTTCGTTCCGGCTTATTATACGGTTATGAAACAAAGCTTTTAAAAATAGAGGATATACGTAAGTTACTACTTTTCGATCGTGGGTGTATTCAAACTATAGCTCGTGCATTTTGAAACTATTGAATTAGCAATTCTAACGCTGGGAGCGAAGTATTAGCTAAGTATGGAAAATCGACTGATGAAGTAGTGAGTCTTTATCGACTGCGATAAATATGACATGCATTACGTGTACTCATCCACCGACTACCACGATACATGATGATGATTGGTGTATGAGTAGATTGGAAGGAAGACAGGAGGGTTAAATTACGACATGTGATCAGTCTATGACAATGATTGTTGAACTGAGACATGTAGATAAGTAGGTGCAGATTAACTAATTGAGATCCATGTGATTATCGTTAACAAAAGTTACACTTTCAATGACATGTCTCAAAATCATTTGTAATGGTAAAGGTCCATTTACTTTATGCCTTTCTCATAGATCCCAAGTTTTTAAATAACCTTATATATTTTGCCTTTATATATTTCGCTAATCGATATTATCTGCTCAAATCGCTATTATTTTAACTACATTTAGTACTCTGGGATTTATTTTAACAATTTCATCTTACTGGGCTAATGGAGTTGTGAGGACAGTCCACGGGTGAACTCGAGGAGGCTCGAAGAAGCTCAGAAAGAGCGGAAGATAATCCATCAAACACCTTTTGGAAGCCACCGGCCGGGTGTATGTTCGGAAGGAAAATCCGGACAGTATGTTGCCGCCCAGAAAGAAAAATAAACCCACCAATGTGTATGGTACGGTCACTCGTAGCTTCCAGGTGGACGAAAGGGTACCTTTCAAACTGTATCAAGGTGATAGGAAGTGGGAACCAGGTGTTATAGAACGTCAGATCGGAAGTGTACTATACCTGATCCGGAGAAATGTCGGAACGTGTATAAAACACATAAATCAAATTCAAAGGGACGACAGAACATTGATCCCACAAAGCCGACTCCAGTTTCAATTGCTCGTAGATTCACCTCAAAAAAAGCCCTCAGGAGCGCGAATGTAGAAGATATAAAAGACGCAAGGGCAAAGCGGTACCATCTTTGAGAGTGATGGACCCATAGAGGAATGCAGTAAACAAGTTTCAGGTGGATCCGAGAACAAAGTCTTACACAACAGACTTTAAAGGGGGGATGAGTACGGTCCACGGGTGAACTCGAAGAAGCTCTAAGAATCTCAGAAATAGCCGATGATATTCCATCCAATCATCTTTTGGAAGCATATTCCAGAATCCCTACGTGTAGCTTCCCTATTGGACAAATGCCAATAACGCCCTGTGTGCAGATTGGATAACTATAATGATGATTTCGTTTTTTTTTTCTAAATAAACTATAAATACCTGACATTTTTGTACCATAATTGACACTGCTTGGAATAACATTCCTTCCACTTGTCTTCTATCTTTTCATTTGCAAATTGGGAGGGTTCTAGTGTCCGAGTGCTCAAGTTATACGCGGTATATAAAGAAACAAACCTGTAGATATAACAAGGATGTTGTGATAACTTGAATCGATGTACACACTTGTATCACATTCTACATTAAGTATGACTGATCCTCTTAGTAACAACAAATAAATTGTACAAGAGTAATAAGAATAACCGAAAACAAAACAAACAAACAAACTACTTGACGAATGTGTATATACATGAGATTGTTATCCATGTGTAGCATCATCATATTTACATTTTCTTATTTATTCTTTATTTATTACATAATATTATGTATTTTTAGCTGCACGTTTTTGTTTTCGAGTTTTCTTTTGTTTTGGTTTTGATGCTGCTGCTGCTGCTGCTGCCGCTAATCGTCCACGATGACGATGACGTTTTTTTGGACCGAAATGTTTTGGTAAAATTGATGATTTTTGTTGAGTATTATTTTTGGATAAATATAATTTCTTTTTTAATTTGTTAATATAATTAGGATTATTATTCATTTTAGACTTTTTATATATTGTTGAATTAGATGACTTTGATGTTAATATAGACTTAGTCTTTTGTGAATTCCTTTCAATATTCTTTGTGAATAATTGTGGTGTTGATGATGATGATGATTCTTTGGTTTTAGACTGAAGCATCTATTTGTTTTTTTGGGAAATAAATCAAGAGAAAAAGAACATAAAATGAGGAAATATATACATACATATCAGTCGTAGAGAAGGGAGAGTTAAGATGGATTAACAAGGTAAAAAAAATTCCTAACTATTTCATCCAGTCCAGTAACACTCTACCGTCCCCCAAATGCTCTCACATGACCACGTGCATACAACCCCTGCCAGGAAAGTCCTACTCACTGCCTTCTCGTGGAATTACTGTTGTTTACAAAACAGAGATGAAAAAATCGAATATCCGGAGCTTTAACCAGGTTGGTGAACATGAAGGGTCCTCCTAGACGAGATGGTAAATCCAGACTCCATTCGAATGTTGTACACGGGTCCAAGGATCCTAAGGAAACAAATGGCGTATGAACCAATTGTTGGTCACTCTCTACAATGGCACTGCATCTCCTAACGTTGCTCCACTGGCTTTTGGATTAGGCCATTAGGTTAAAGGCTTGGGGTGTGGTCCCCTAAAAATACCACCTGCTTCAGTTTGGGCACCCGAGCAGCCTCTCAGCCCTCACATAAATCTAATGATTTATGTGGCGCATATCTGTTTGGTGCCTCCTCGTACCAATGTTTATGTGTTTAAGTAATAATAATAGTAATAATAATAATAACAATAATAATAATAACTATTTCACTCTGTGATTAGCCTCAAATCGGAACACAATAATAACATTAGTTTATTCTCAACCAATCAGTACTAATACAAGAGTCAGGAAGATACTAAAAGATTCTTATGTAAATTCTATAGAAACTCTCAAATTTTTGCCATTGGATGTTTGTTTTTCGAGTTATCGGAATATATATACAGGGTTCACTGATATTTTTTGTGATTTGCTAAGGGTCGAGTGATGCATAGTAGTCCAAGAAATACTGAACAACAAAAAAACCATAATAAACGACCTAGCCGATTCATTCTACTTTAGGACTCCCTTCAATTCAATAATACTGTATTCACTAAGAAACTACAACAGTTTCTGGATCCGATCGCTGGTGGTAGGGTTTTAGGTGATCAATACTAACAAACTTTACACTAAGACGAAATAATGTTTCAATGATTTAAGTGAAATGGTAGTCTCTGAGTCAAATGGTTTAGTCGTGAAACATTCATTATCTTTGTAGAGAGTATCGTGAACAGAAACATCAGAGCTATTAAAATTTCTCCGGAAGCGATTGATAATTTGTTTTGGTCATTAATTTGGATCATTCACCTCTCAGACATGGTACTTGACCCCTATCAATTTATGATTTTTCTAAATAGTTGATAAATCATTTCAATGTTTATTGTTGGTTGATCTAGATAGCAAGCTTTTAAAGATTCTCTGATCTTATTTATAACCTTTGTTCACAATTTCAACATTCTGCTAGCTGAAGATACATTTACAACTGTCCAGAAGCATGGTTATGGGCAAAGATATATCCCGGAACTTGAAATCTGATCGATATCTATTTAAGCAAAGATTAATAGAGAGGTTATTTTGTCTGATATGTTTTCTAGAATTAAAGCTGCTGATTTTATAGATGATGTTCGGCATGCCTTCTCTTGTCCTTTCATTTTTTTTTTTAGTTTGTCCACTTATTTTTGAAGTAAGAGCTGATGATGAAATCGTCTAGATGGATAGTATTAGCTTCATGATTAAACCACTGAGTTCAGAGAGTGAGACTTCCCCGAAATCATTCTCCTGAGCTATTAACATTCTCCATCTCATATCAAGTTATTCAATACCCTTTGATTTTAAATGTTTTTGCAGTCCACCTCACTCAACCATAACATCTAAATTTACATTTAACATTCTTCACAAGCAATGCTATATATACAGTTACTGTTGTGTGTATGGAGTTGTGAAGTACTATTTTAAGGCATTCGACTTTCAGTCACTAAGCCACAGGTTTGAACTCCTTCCCAGCGACTTCGGTTTGCAAAATCAGATAGTATCAATGAACCTCACATTTATGTTGCGGTTCCAATAATCGAAGAAATCACCATGGCTATCAGACAAATCAAGAGTAGGAAAGCAGAAGGACCTGACACTAAACGACCTGAAGCAATGAAGTCAGACATAAAAGCAACTGAAAACATGCTCCACATTCTATTCAAGAAAATTTGGGAGCAAGAACAAGTACCGACAAACTGGAAAGAAGAATACCTGATTAAGATACTAAAGAAAGATCTGGAAAAGTGTGAGAACTCAGTAACAGAGGCATCATACTACTACCGGTATCAAGAAGGGTTTTCAACAATGTTACTGAGCCGGATGAAAGATCCAGTAGACGCCCAACTTCGAGATCAACAGGCTGTATTCTGTAAGGATAGATCGTGCACAGAACCAATGGCGACACTACGGATCATCGTTGAACAATCGATTGAATGGAACTCGTCACTATACATCAACTTTCTTGACTTTGAAAAAGTGTTTGACATTGTGGATGGTAGAACATTATGGAAAATTCTTCGACACTATGGTGTGCCTGAGAAGATCGTCAACATCATACGCAATTCATACAACGGACTACACTACAAAGCCATGCATGGAGGACAACTGATGGATGCATTCCAAGTGAAGACCGGAGTCAGACAAGGCTGATTACTCTCTCTTTATCTATCTCTTCTGGTGGTTGATTGGATTATGAAGACCTCCACACATGTGAGAGGAAGCACGAAATACAATAGATAGCTTGGATACAGCTGGACAATAACGACTTTGCACATGACCTAACTCTTCTATCCCATACACACCAACAAATGCAGGTCAAGAATCTGATGCAAATATGAAGGCACGGATTGTCAAAGCAAGAATTGCACTTCCACAATTGAAGAATATATGGAACTCAAAACAACTGTCAACCAATATCAAAGTCATAATTTACAAGACAGTTCTACTGTATGGCGGTGAAACTTGGAGAAATACCACAACCATCATCAAAAAGCAAAAGTATTCATAAACAATTTTCTGCGCAGAATACTCAATATCCGTTGGCCGGATACCATCAGCAACAGTCTACTGTGGGAGAGAACAAACCAACATCGGGCTGAAGCGGAAATTAGGGGAAGACATTGGAGGTGGAAATCAACAAACTGAATGGAAAAAGAAAAGAGGAACACCAAAGTATACATTGGATAGGGAATTAGAAGTAAACGTCAAAAGAATGAATAGCGATTGGAAACAACTAGAAAGGATTGCTCAGGACAGAGTTGGTTGGAGAATCCTGATCAGAGAGCCTATACTACACAAGGGATAACAGGCATAAAATTCCAAAATTATGATGTGGCTCATAATTAAATACCTGATGAATGAGTCAATTTGAATTAAAAATTACTGTTGTGTGATAATTGTAATTTCAGAACTAAGAATTGATTGGGGGATATGTATACATATGTTAGTGATTATTTTACTTAATATATATACATTCTGGCACAAACTGTAACCAAAATAAGGATATGCCACACAAATAAAGTGAAATTCTGAAGGGTTACAGGAAGGAGTGGGAGTTAAATTATAAATAAACAAGTGAATACAAATAAGTTAATGAAAAAAGGTATATAATCAGAGATACAGTTCAACTAAGAATATAATAAAGAAAGACGTCTTTCAAAGAAGAAAGGTTGTTTCATTTATACGAAGATTGTAATAGAACACTATAGATGAATCGTTACTGCTTTCTATTGAAAGCTACATCTAAAAACAACTTAATCCAATGATTTCGCCATCTCTCTAGGACACCAACCGATGAATCATGATGAACAAAAAGATATTAATCCTACAAAGCTTTTATTCCATACATCGCCACGTAATAAACTGACTACCTCTCACATTTTCCCTCTAATCCCAAAGTTGGTATCATAACGGAGGATATAGGGACTGCTAAGATGGATGGATGATACGATCGACTCAAAACATAAGTGTATAATAAATGAAATACCATATAACATTGCGTAATAGTACGAAGATCTATATAAACTTTTGCAACTTACCAAACATTTTTCTGCTCTTTTCTGTTTTAATTGTAACGCTCTCATATTTTCCAAAGAAAATTCAACAATTGGTCGCTATTGGACAGAAGAAAGAAGAGTGAACAAATGTAAACAATTATTCTTATAATAGGACAAAATTTTCATATTAGATATTAGTACAAATTACAGTATGTCAAGACAGTTCCACTGTACGGAGCTGAAACTTCAAGAACTATCACAACCATCATCAAAATAGTAAAAGTATTAAAAAACAATTGTCTATTTGAGATCCGTTGGTCGGATACCATTGGCAACAGTCTACTGTAGGAGAGAACAAACGAACTTCCATCTGAAGAGGAAATTGGGAAAAGACGATGGAAGTTGATAAGACACATACTTTGGAAATCATCAAACTGCATCACGAAGCAAGTGCTAACTTAAGATCCTGAAGGGAATTGGAAACAGACATCAAAAGAATAAATAGCAACTGGAAACAAGTGGAACGGATTGCCCAGGCCAGAGTTCGATAGAGAACGCTAGTGAGTAGCCTATACTCCTCCATGAGAGGTAACAGGCATAAGCTTCGTGAGGGAATTATCGGAGTTCTACCGAGGAGCCGTGACCAGTGGAGCTAATCTGTGTCGGGTAGACACAGGTATCTGCCACAGTACAATGGAAGATGGTCGCGCATTTTCGGAGATTGTTTGAGGCTAGACAGTAGCAACGTTGGATGCCAGCCGGTTCGGTGGTCTAGAGGTTAAGCGCTCGCGCGCGAGACTGAAAGCCCTGGGTTCGAATCCCGCGAGCAGGATCGTGGATGCGCACTACTGAGGAGCCCCACAATAGGGCGAAACGGCCGTCCAGTGCTTCCAGGCTATTAATGGTGGTCTAACACCAATCGGTTAATAATCTCAATCATTTTTAAAATTGTCAACTTTTCATTCTGACTACTTTTAAAATCATTTAATTGCCAAAATCTTAATAACATTACTTGTAAATAGATTTATATACATGAACCGTACATTCATTTCTTATGTTAAGGACTAATAAATTTACTACCCATTAATAACTCTCTTTTTCTTGATTACACGAATTATAACTGGAACAGTGTCTATATTAATACACAATAAGTAACTGTTCCATCTCCATGATAGTGAGTGTTTTGTGAAACAATTACAATCTTTTACCAAACTGATGGGACTATAATTTATAGACGACCTTTGAGTGACGCTAAAGTGATCTTGAGAATCATTGTAGTGTCAGTTTTTATGGCAAGCCCATATACCTTATTCTAACTTCCGGACATCCTATTTTATTCATTTTACTTGAGCCATATTTTGACCTTGTCAATTATTCGCTTGTCAGTCTTGACTGTTTTTATATGAGCGTATATGAGTGTACACTTCATGTCCCATGATTCATTGTATGTCTGTAGCTTATTTTGTCTGACTATAAATTGGAGTAACGCTTGACTAAAAGGGAGTTGGCTTCCCAGCCATCTTCCATACGTGTCATTTTTGCTTTCCTATGCTTCATTCGCTTCATGTACGAAATATATGTATTCTCAAGTCAATTCTCGTTATTCGACATATTTAATTCTGTTATTGGATAACGCGATTTAAGTCGACGATGATATACGAGAATCAGCGATAGCAAACATTTATACGATCTAAATAGGAGTCAGATCAACGGGCCACAACATTGGTAAGCCCGCCGACGACGAACGCAACGCAGCAAGCTACGTCGATGAAGGAACTTCTGCACTCTATACGTTCGACGACCAAATTCAGCGAAGCCAGCGCAATATCCAGTCCGACGCAATCAGCAAAGCCTGTGCATCATGGCATGGACATGCTCAAGTCGTATTATCTTATCGATACTTTGTCCTCATGTCAACCATTCTCATTGATCCATTTGTCGGATTGCTCCATTACGATTCAAATTATCATTATATGCTTATTATTACATTATTATCAATATCATGACCGAATGTGGAATTATTAATCTTGTTCGTGCTGTCATTAAATCATGACATTTTCGCAATCATATTACTCACCGAACAAATTATCATTTTATGAAAATTTCACTCCACTTTGTGAGAACTCATTGGGATATTTTTACTATTCAAAAACGTGAAATTTTCCTGCTTTAAGTGAGTTCGTTCCAATTTTTCATGTCATTTTGATCTAATATTGCATTCATTCACTTAGTCGAGGTCAGCAATTTATGTTGTCGTAACATACATTTTTCATTTCGAAAGCGCCTACTATTATGTCTGTGGATGCTTGTAACCAGCTGACTAGAAACCACTACGTTCATCTTATCTATTCTTCCATGTGCATAACTACATGCTGCATCACTTATCACTGAAAAACGCTATTCGACTACTGCAACTACTATTCTATACCCATCGCACTGTATATCAGAACATAGAGTTTAGAGCTAGCCTCTCAAAGATACACTCTTGTTCGTCACATCCAAGTCAGTCACATACGTCGGCATCACTAATCATATGTATTGGTATTTTTGTCATGCCTTGGTACGGTTTTGTAACCAACGAGATCGAGCGCATCTCCCTCAAACCACACAAACCACTCTAGGCTTCATGACCAAAAAGGAATACAACTCTACGTACCTCGTCTACTCAGTCACTATTCTGTTCCTCTGGTCATTCTACTAATACATATTTAATGATAACTCAATGCATCTGCCATAACGCAGACGACAACGTTCACTGACTTCAAATTTTATGATTATCAATTGCAGTACAGCAACGAATATCACCCGTCGATGCAGTTATTATTTCACGACTTAACTATTATCATCCTACGAACGGGAGTTACGCATTTGAATTCGAATTCACTCATCACTAGTCGATGCTATTCATTCTGCTGCGGCTCAACAGAACATATATTTCGCATATTTCACTATTTCGTCAGCATCACAGACCAATTTCTGTCATATTCTACTCTAGCCATTTTGATGACTTATTTCGCTGTTATACCTACAAAAAATTTATTACTGTTTTCACGATACTTTGAATCACTCATACAAACGTGTTATTTTATCGTCCAGACAGTCATAGAATTAGTAGATGTTAATTTTTTTGTACGCTCATTAATTTGCTCATATTCACATGCTAACATTTTCATTTTTGTCCGCGTCTTTTCTATATTCATGTATTCTTTTGCATAAGTATGACATTTTCATATAATACACTCACCTCTCATGTGACATTGTACTTTATCGAGTGTTGTACAATTTTTTTTTGGCTACTTAGTGTTAGCGTTAACTTCATATCACTTCAGTGTTATTTTCGAAAACAGACATTTTTTAAATGTGCTATTTTCTACAAGGGGGCTATGTAGTGTCAGTTTTTATGGCAAGCCCATATACCTTATTCTAACTTCCGGACATCCTATTTTATTCATTTTACTTGAGCCATATTTTGACCTTGTCAATTATTCGCTTGTCAGTCTTGACTGTTTTTATATGAGCGTATATGAGTGTACACTTCATGTCCCATGATTCATTGTATGTCTGTAGCTTATTTTGTCTGACTATAAATTGGAGTAACGCTTGACTAAAAGGGAGTTGGCTTCCCAGCCATCTTCCATACGTGTCAAAATTGCTTTGTTATGGCTCTCGCTCGCTTAGCATGCGAAAAGGTCTACCACATCTTCACCTACTAACTGGAACCAAATGAGGGTTATAAAGCAGAGTGAGGAATCAGGAGTATGATTTACATTTGATGGTTAGGGTTAATAACTAAATTTAGGGTTTCAGTCAGTCAATCAGCTACAACGTAGGACCAGGCACATATACGCATCGGTCCAAGTTGCCATACCTCATTAACACAAAAACAAGATGAACACCGAATTCATAAAAGTAGTTAATTCAGAGGTGGTAATATATAAAAGAAAGATTGCATGTAAGGAGATAGTACAGGGAGAAAGAAGTAGTTCGCAGAAATAGAGATATGAAGTGATTTTAATCTCTTAGTTTACGGGAAGACAGGGAGTGTATACACCGACGCCATTGTGATCGATTCTGAGCCATGTCACACACAGTCTCCAACCATTGGTTACGACAATCAAGTGGACCCCAACCAAGTAGTCTGCATCTACTGACATGGCTCAGACTAGAAGTTAGTGACTTCAAGCACTGATGACACATTTTGGTTTGGCCGCCCCTAACTTTCTTCCAACCATCCAGAACGCCGGTTAGCATTGCACATCGTGGTAATCGGTGGTCAGGCATACGTAATACGTGGCCCAACCATCTCAGTCGATGAAGATTCACAACCTCATCAACTGATTTACCATCATTTCCTAATACCCTGCGTCTAACCTCACTATTACTTACCCGGTGATACCAGCAGACGCCAGCAATATTTCTGAGGCATCTGTGGTCAAGTACTAGTAGCTTACGAGTGTCTTCTACTCTTAATGGCCATGTTTCGCTGCTGTAAATCAAAACAGAACGGACTGCCACGCAGTATACTCGTCCTTTTAGGGTTTTATCGCGAACTAGCATAAGCTAAAATGCCAAAACGCTTTTTAGTCAAATGGATAAATGAATTTCGTGCTAAAATCCAAGACTTGTTATCTCAAACCTGATGGGTTCATCCATAAATTATAGTCTTGCCACCAAACTGTATAAAAAAGTGTGCCAACTAAAGTAGCACGTAATCAGAGTTAATTGCAATACTAATAAGGTAAAACCGATGCCCTTGAACGATCAGTCAAAATTAAACTGGCCGATGCGTGTATTAAAAACGTTATTGTGGATAGCTTGTTACTTAAACTCATGAATTTTATTATAATTCGTATTTCAAAAGGATGGGCATAGTGGTCTTCTTGTGGAATGAAATGTTAAAGTCAGTATGTTTAGTTTAGGAAGGTTAAGGTCAGGAGTATTAGACTTAAAAATAAGGGTTTGGAAGTTTTAGGATTAGGATCTAGGGTTGACCGGTTTTAGCCTTATGGGCTAAGGCTAAGGTGTGTTAAGGCTTAAAGTATTAGAATTGGGAGCTAACGTTTAGAAGTACTACGTTTCGGAGTTGGGGTCTAAGAGTTTTAGGATTAGGGGCTGGATTCGAGAGATCTTAAGGTGAGGAATTAGGTTTTAAAAATGTAAGGCTGAGAATTCGGGTCTATCCTGATTATAGAACAACGATATCCAGCCTAAATTATCGATATTTAGCACTAATAAGTTCATTAATTATTTCGAAACGACTGATCCTTCGTGATTTCATTATCTTTCTATATTTTAGAGCTCTCACACAACAACTGCATTCTGACTGGCTGTTTTTGGTTGGTTAATTATAAGGCCATCCCTAAATTCGCTTAAGGTTGTCTGTATAATATAGTTTCACCATTAACGTAATCTATTTACTTAGAACAGGTTTATGTTCACGATACACAGTATATTCGACAAAGTGAACGTTTCGTTCACTTTCACAAACATACACGTTAAATATGAAAAGATATGTTATGACTGATTTAAATGCACGTAGACAACCACAGACACAAATTCGTTTGGGAAGACATCGAAAGTTTGATTAAAGATACCCGACATATCGACTCATACAAAAAAGGTCAATAAACCACATAATTAGAGGTTAACTGGACAAAATAGTCAACTTAAATAAAAGAACTGGCGCTTGGTACCTGTGTGGTTGTGCCACAGGATTGAGCTGTACTATACAGATTGTAGCGTTAAAGCCTATACGGTGTCTGGTTCCGCTGCTAAACGGGATTGAGCTGTACTGTCTGGGTTGTCACGTGAAAGTCCGGATGGTGTCTGGTTCTCCTGAAAACCAATGTAAAATTACCCTGGCCCGCAAGGGTATATTATATATAAAGAACCTACGAATACAACCAATCACAAACAAGGCTTTCAGAACAAAAAAACTTATGACTCGTGGAATAAGTAAGAAGGTCACTTCTGCATGAATCAAGCACTGATTGTGTTGCCCAGAAATACAATTAGATCATGTAGCAATTTAGACAGATCAACAACACTAACAGGCTTATGTACTCGACTTTGGGATGAAGTACATAAGGTAGGATTCGATACCAAGACCTAATTGGATGAAAATCGGGTATTTCAATGAATACCAAATAATTGTTTTACAGTGCATAAGTCAACCAACTATCAAATTTACGACAAATTATTATAACAGAAAAACAGTAGTTTACAGGTTTTGATCAAAACACCAGATATTATATAATACACAATTCACTTAATCATCTAACTATTCAACAGAGTGCCAGAATGAAGCCAGAACAAGGTTTTATTTAAAAAAATAGAAGGGAGATGTCAGTAAGTGGAATCATAGATCAATTCTTATAAATAAGTGAATAATTAAATTAAATAACCTACTGTACAGTATAGGACGATTAACTTACTCGATTACTAGGTGGGAATGCATTCGGATTATTATTTAAACCATACAATACACTTAATGCATTTTCATGATTGGTAAATGCAACAAATCCATAGCCAAGTGAACGATATTGTTGTCTGCCTGGTTGAAGATTACGCATAATACGACACTGATGATAGGATTACAAACCAAAGAAAAGAGAACAAAATAAACCGTAAAAACAATTTTGTAAATTTACAGTATAAAAATGACAGTAAATAATTTTATATATTCAATTGGGTTATGAACACAGAGTGGATTCCAACCGATAGATCAGAAGGCAGATACCATCTAGATCTATGTGGTTTTGACACGAGAAGTTCAATACGCCTAGCTCTTCGACTACCAATCGTCTATTATAAGATCAAAAGTATCGAAAGCTCTAAAACAAAAGACTAGTATATCATGAGTAAAATAAGATGTTGATTAAAAACGCCTCATAAATCGCATATGATCAACTACAAAAGTAATGATTTAGCAACGACATTCAGGTTGAGTGATGTTCATGTTAGATTTCTTTCAAGGTGGTTTCAAAATATCAAAGAAGAATCCTAGAAAATCCACTTCTTACATGAGCAACTGTTTTTTTTTTTAAAATATCTCCTGCAAAGTCAAGAATCCAAAAACAAAACCACACATATTTCAATCATACGATATGTTCGAAAAGATTGAAAAAATACAATGTAACTCATTTTACCAAGAACCAAAGTATTTCTCTAAACAAACCTTTTCATTCCATCTTTTTAAACCATATTTCAAATATAATGACATATTCTCAGTGTTTAATCTATCTCGGTAGCATTGCTATTATAATCATTTCGACTACTATGCTATTCATCTCGTTAATTTTATGCCATGGTGCTAATATGGTATGAGAAAGTAGGCTAAAGCAAATTTATGCCAGATTGTATGTTATGACTGAATGACAGTTTTGTATAAGGGGTACAGACACAACTCAGCTGCTGAAATCGAATTCAACGGAGTGTGGTTCGAACCTGCAATATAGAGGTTGGTAACCAAGAATTTTAACAACTAAGGTACTGAATATATACATATTTAATTAATGGATTATGGGTTTAGATCTCATTCTTACCGCCGTTTATTATCTCCTGTACTGATGCAATATGTGTGTATCTAAGTTTAGGACGCAATCTTGTACTTAGTTATCATCCAATAACTACCAGTAAATATATAAAAAACGCCAAACGTATGAGCGAACCGAACCTTAAAAATTGACCATAACAATACTTAAATAAAAACACGTCAGTCATACATTTTAAGCGTACTCACTTCTAAAATTCGGTGGTCTGTACTTTTCTTTAGAAATTTCATGCAAGCAGACTTTAAGTCATCATCGGATACATGTAAGGGTAGATTACGTAGACATAATCGAACATCACTAATAAAATAATTTGGATCAGTTAGTTTTTTCTTTTTCTCTCGCAATAATGCATCCCTTCTGGCTAAATCTTCTTTGCTTAAACCTTCAGCTTCAGATGACCCAGGACGAATAACTATATGAAACAAGAGGAAAGCGACAAAACATAAAATAAATATTTTGATTCAAAAAATGGTAAAGAGGGAAGAAATCGTGTAATACGATGTATGTCAGTCTTTAAATTCTTCCTCCTATTCACTATTGTGAATAAAGTTTGAAAGGACTCCCGTCTCATTCATGGTTCATAATACAGACTGATCTTGGACAAGCATTGAAACCCAATAAGCATTTAACAGTTGCTTTGTCCTGAAAGTGGAACAACTCAGCAGTACACATCCACGGAAATACCGGAGATTGAACCCAGGATCTTCAAGTCTCGCACAAAGTGGTTAGTTTTAGCCATATTGTAAGTGTAGAGGCTAGTGACGATAACTGGGTGTATAAGCCAGAATAGGTGAAGCGGAGTTTGAATATGCAACTTGGCGGCCGAAATTCGAACACATCACACGAGGTTCTCTTTAGCGGAGCACCATTCGACGACTATAGTATAAATTTATAATCTAAACCCTCCCCTGCATTAATGCACAGTTTCTCACCCCTTCCTACCCCGTGAAGTTCTCAAAACTTTTGCCCGATAACATTAGTAATTTCAAAAATGGTATGATCAGTTATTATTGTTTTAGTGTGAATATGAAAGCCGGTAATTTGTGTGATCACTATCTTTTTAAGAGCAGTGAGCTCTGGTAATCACCAGTCAGGATTTGTTCAGCCAGCTACATCTTTAAATATTTAAGCGACAAAAATTGTCAGTCAGTAACAACGTAGAACTTCGTACGTACGTATGTACATCAGTTCGAGTTGCCATACCACATTAGCACAGAGATGCAGTTGTCGATTCAAATCCCGTAATGGTGGAGGCGGTAAGAGTATAAGCAGTAATCGGAAACATTAGGGTTTGTAGATGGTATTTAAGGAGTATAATCCGGTGAGATAAATTTTGAAAGAGAAAAAACAGAAAGAAAGAAAGAAAGGGACATGAATAATTCAGAAGACAAGAATTTCGAAGAACACAAAGAGTCGATGCACCTGCGCCATTGCAAACGATTTTGAGCCATGTCATTCAAGGTCTCTAATCATCGGTTGCGATCGTCTCGCGGATCCCAACTAGGTAGTCTACACCTACCAACATGGCTCAGCCCACTTGTCAGTGACTTCATGGATTTGTGCCATGTTTTGGTCTGGACTCCCCTAGCTTTCTTCCAACCAACTCATAAGCCGTAAAACGTCGCACATCGAGGCAGTCGATGGTTGAGCATACGTAACACATATCCGAGCCAGCTCAACTGATCAAGTTTCACTACTTCATCAATTGATTTGCCATCCTTATCTAGTACCCGTTCCCTAACAACTGCACTACTTACTCGATGGTCCCAGGATATACGAGCAATGTTTCGAAGACACCTATGATCAAATACTAGTAACCTACGGATATTCTCTACTCTTACCGGCCATGTTTCACTGACATAAAGCCGGACGGAACGAACTGCTGTACAGTAAACTCGTCCTTTGGTTGGTAGATGGACAAAAATTGTCCACCTGAACATATCGAGCATATACTTCAGTAGCACTCGAACCGGCAGCTTTTTTTAAATACTTATGGTTATAACCTCAAAATTATCATTAGGGATGAGGAAAAACTACAGTCGTTATAATGTCGGCCGCCAACTTCTATCTCAAAGCTCCGTGTTGAATGGATAGGGTCAAGATAAAATATAGGACCAGTTTATAAAGTTACTAACTAGTGATTTGAGATAAGTAAGAAAATGAAGACTTTCTGGTTAGGGTGTGCGTGGCAGTCTTAAACTACGATTGTACTGATACGATGTGCAGAAACTTTACTTTCATGTTATCTGCGAATGACTACCATTGATCTTGTAAGTAGATTTCAAAAATACAGCTTATGTTAGTGGTATGGAATTCTTTGCTTTCAGTTTAAACACTGAAGGCTAAGATACTCCTTTTGAAGTTTAGATTCTACACCGTAAGTAAGTATATTTACCTGTGAACAAACAAGCAAATCAATGATACTTTATACAAAAAACGTCGAACAAAAAAGTGGAAGTTTCTCAATTTCAACCAAAATAAGTGAATTTTTCTTCAAAATATTTATAATGAATTTCCCCTCGTTTTATTTGAAACTTGACTGTGATGTCATAAAATCTTGATATTGATTTTTATTTATATCATAATATTCATGTAACTTCCTCAATTTAAAAGATACCAACATTTAAGAAATTTATGTTTTTGTAAACCTAATCACTGAGTATGAGTCAGTTAAAAGAGCCAAAAGGGAAAGTTTAGTGTTGAAAGTCGATGTAGGAGGAATAATCAGCATTGAAGAGGGAGGTCGATTATGAACACAGTGGTCTTGAGTGTTACTAGAGGTATGAGGGTGGTTTTCAATTCCCGGTTGCCCACACCGTGGAAGGGGCCTTCTGGAGGTACCTGAAAATAAAATTGGATTAGGAGTGGTCTCAGTGACCCGAGAGCGTGACCACAGTGCCCAAAGGATGACTGCTTGAGGTCGGTCACACACGACCTTTTTATGGGCAATTTTTGTGTTAGCTCCGTACTTGTTGAGACCTTACCACCGGAGACGGATATCCGTGGGATAAGGCGAGGTGTGCATTTTTAGGGTCGACCTTTTCTGACCCCACCCCTCCTTGTGGGAAGGCAGAATCGCTGTCATGCTGGTTGTCTGAAGGAAACACCTTACTGCTGTCACATCACTGTACAGTCAGCAGTAGGACTTTGCATTCGGACCTTGGGTTTGTTGCTTTTAGTCTTACCGCTCTTTAACCGACCTGACTGGCATATTAGAACCTTAAGGAACGATTGTTTCAGTCAGCATAGCTTGGTTGCTTCATTACGATAGGCAAGCCCGACCACCACGTCAAGATAGCAACAACGGTCGGGACTGAGTATGAAACCGACTACAGTGTATAAAATTCTGATGATGTAGGTCTACAAAACACATTTCATTAACCTGAAAGCATAGCAGAATCCTGCTAGTAAATAAATAATTAGAAATATATGATATCGGAAATAATCGACCTGTAAATTTGTATTATTAAATTGATCATCATTACATGAAACGAAGCTAGATTATTTAAAATGCGTATACACAGGAAGATTATCAACTTACTTCCAATAGATGCTAAATGCAAATTACGTCCCTTTTGCTTTACAGCATCTGCAGGGCCTATAAGACCCTCCGAAGCATCATCTTCGTGTTTCCTTTTTCGTAGATTTTGTGCCTCTGTTCTAGAAACAGCAATTGTTATTTTTAAAGTTCGGTTTTCCAAAGAAAATTGATGAGCGTTCTAAATAAAAATACGTCCGTTGCATTATGGAATTGAGTATATTTCTTATGAAGTGTAATATAGTACACAACAACTTATCAATAAAACATAATCTTTTCCAACTAACCTCAGGTTTATCAGATTGTTGTAAGACATTTGATGCATCCTCAGCATTTACAAACTTTACAAAGGCTGTACCTCGGGAATGTTGTGTTGCTGGATCTTTAACTATTTTCGCAAATTCTAGGGGTCCGAACTGTGAAAAAAATGTGTATAATGCATCCTCTTCCACATCAAAGGATAGGTTTCTGAAATAATACAAGTACAGAACGATATAACCGGTATTAACGACAATTGTTTTCAACACCATACTTGGAAGAAAATGCAAGTTAACGAAATAATAACTGAAGTGAAAGAAGTTGGTTAAGAAAGAGCGAAATATCAACCAAAGTAATCATGACTGTTCCTTAAGTACAAGGGAATGTGAAGATTATTGTAGTTCGTGACGCAGAACTACAAAAGTACCACTTCATAAGCATTTCATTCACTAGAGAAAGTGCTTATAGCGCATAGTCTTTCAAACGCTTGTGACGTTTAGTGTCGAATAAGTGGGTTTTGATAGGATCATATCAAACGAAATGAAGCACATTAAGATAGATTTCTTAAGAAACAATGTACATGACGAGTTAGACTGCCTAACCAGATCTTCATTTTAAAAAAGGATAAAATGTTTAGTTCATATATTTTTTAAAAATAGTAGTGTGCAGATAATGCTAAGTGACTCCAGTTGACAGAGCTATAAAACGTGAAGATCGCTGCAGAATAGGCAATAACAATGCAAAAAACGCAACAGAAATAATTATTTCGAGGTTCTTTATAACAAAAAGTCAAAACTAGTCACCAAGTTTTTGTCATATTCTGTTTATGATCCTGCGTTACAAAATGTCGATCAATTACTTTAAAGAACTCAAATATAACGTTAATTGGTAGTATGTCTTACTTAATGTAAAATCTGACTAGATCACCGTAAACATATCGTACTCATTTATAGAATGGACACGACGATATACTTGTTAAACCGGTCAAATCTCTAGTTTGAACGGAGCATGTTATGAACTGTAGCAAACATACTAAGCATAGAGTTTCACTGAAATGCGTTGACCATTGAAGTTTTTTTACGGTGCATAAATAAAATATTAGGCAAAATGATACACATTGAAATAATTAAGGTCACAAATCGAGAATGAAAAGTGGATAATAAACATTAAAAGCCCAAATAAACAGGAAAAATGTAAATGTATCTGCACTACTTTAGTGTACAATTATCAGTAATGTCTGTAATAATAATAATTTCCAAAATAAAACAGAACTTCGAAATGTAGTCGACTACACTAAAGATGAGATTATGTATGTCAGATATCTTTCTTTCTACGAACTAATTCTTCCTTCCTATACTATATCCTTATTGCAACCTTTGACCTAACCACTCCTATGAATCCGGTGTTCATCTTGTTGTGCTAATGAGGTATGGCAACCTGGACCGATGCACATATGTGCCTGGTCCTACGTTGTAGCTGACTGACTGACTGATGTCAGATGTCCCAGCAAACAGAATTGTTCTATCAATCACATTAAAACTTTTCACATGCTTAACATTTAGCTGCAAACCGAGCAAGGTATATTTGTTGAGGCATTCCAGAAATAATTTTTAGAAAAAACTAAAAAACTATTAAAATGAATAACAAAAATAAGTCTTAAAAGTCTCCAATCGCTTTACTAGTGCTAACCATCATAATAATATTCTCATATGTACAGTAAAAACATTGCTTTTAACCTATAATTACCTGATGACATACTATAGCATGACGTTCTTTCACACACTAGGCTAATTCTACTATCTTCGGCCCGATGACTGACTTCTATCAAGTTTTATAAAGCTGGTATTTTCATGACATAACGAATATGTTCCTATCAAACCTCAAGTTTGAAAACCTATGACCCAGGACTAAGACCGAGCAAAACAACGGCACTGAGTTATTTTAAATCCAGGTGTCCGACTAAATAAACTCATTCTTTCGAAAGGATCGCTAATACAGCGTTACAAAGTAAATTGTTCTGTGGAAGGCATACCCTATGTGTGGGAAGATGAAAATAAGTCAGTCATTATCAACTTATAATGCCACATACCAGCATGATAATAATTATTACGACATGCCGGTGTGTTAGAAAAGTAGCAGTATCAGTCCCATCAGCGTACCCCAATCTCACCATTTTGAGGTCTTCCCCGAAGTCCGATGACAATTGGCAGTTTTCCCCAAAGTTTTGGGGATTTCCTAAGACCTAGGGAAATTTTGGGGTTTCTGTGCTATTTGGATATCCAAGACTCTCTTTAGCGGTTCCTCTAAAACGGAAAACTTTTCTCTCAAAATAGGGAGTTTGGGACACAAGCATTGACACACGTCCACAGACCTACTATCCTTATGACTGAAGACTAGAATGTATCAGGTCTCCCGTGTTTAGTTTCGGGAGTAAAGTTTTGACGCAACAAATATGTGCATATGTACGAATATATTCGTATATGAAATGACGTTTCGACGAACTACTGATTTTCAGTGTCTATAGATGAAATATACCTATAAGAGTATCTAAGCATATTATCATGCTGTACAGCATGATAACTTTGTGGTGAGTAATTATAATTACTCATCACGTGGTGAGTTGACTTGTACAGGTCAATATTATTGACTTCGTTGTCCAAAACGTCCACGAGGTCAAAAAACACTTTTCGTTAAGTTTAGTGGTTGACACAATATTTTAAACAACAGAGCAAGATCAATATTACCTGATAAATATCGTTCTACCTTCTGAAGTATCTGACACCATGAGACACTAAAGGCCCTTGAAGTGTTCTCAAGGACGTACAAGGACAATGTAACGTCAATTTTTGATAGGTTGACACACGTTCCAAAGCACACTTCATCCTAAGTTTGGCAGCATTAGTGAAAAAACTTAGAAAGACAAAGAACAGCTAAAACTTGGTTTCCGGAGGGGTTACACTTGTATAACCAACCTGCTGACTGTGGTGGACAGATGGACAAGCATCCTCGATCACAAGGGGATGGTTGACATCATCTACCTAGATTTATCAAAAGCTTTTGATAAGGTTAACCATACATGTCTTATCAATAAGCTCAAACGATTGGGTATCAGACCACCTCTAGTCGATTGGCTCACTTCATACATGAAAAATCGACATTTTAAGGTCAGGGTTAATTTCACTTTGTCACAGGCTATGGAATGTCCTAGTGGGTTCCCCCAGAGCTCAGTGCTAGGACCTCTTCTTTTCTTGATCTATATAAATGACCTTCCTCAACAGGTAACGTCAGACTTAGTACTTTTTGCTGATGACGTGAAACTTTGGAGAGAGATACGCAACCAAGAGTATATACTGGCACTTCAGGAGGATCTAGCTCGATTTCAAAGTTCGGCAAATGAAAACGAACCTACCTTTAACACTTCGAAGTGCAAAGTAGTCCATCTGCGTCATGTTGCGGATTACAGTTACAACTTAGGCGACTCCCCTCTCGAAGTATCCCAAGTTGAAAAAGATTTAGGAGTGCTGGTAACCTACGATCTGAAGTCCTACGCTAACTGTTACAAAAATACCTTTCGAGCAAACCTTGCACTGGTAACATTGAAGCGCATTTTTGGCCAGTTTGACTGAAAAACGTTCCACATAATCTTCAACAGTTTTATTCGTTCCCATTTAGAGTACGGAAACACAGTATTTCCTCCCTCACTCCTAGAAGATAAGGACACTCTGGAGCGTATCCAAAGGCGAGCCACGAAATCAGTTCGGAGACTCAAATTCAAGCTTTATGAAGAGCGCCTCTAATCACTTGACCTTTACTTATTAGAGTATAGACGTCTTAAAGGTGACCTTCTGATGGCTTACAGTATCCTTAACACTTCTGGACATCCCCTTGAACACCCACTTAAGCTTAGTCCCAATACAAACCTACGGGGTAACACCCAAAAACTGGAGACAAAACATATCAGAACTGACTGTAGACACAACTTCTACTCCTTAAGAGTTGTCAAATGCTGGAATTCGCTGCCGGCCGAGCTAGTCCAAGCGACTTCCCAGGAGTCTTTTAAGAGGCAACTTGACCTATCCTTAAGGACTATGGATAACATCTTATTATGATTTAGAAATTTCGTTATTTTCCTCTGTTATCGGTACTATACCTAGGTTCCTGCCTGGAAGTATTGGTGATCCACTTCCACTAGACACGGAAGCCTGTTAAGCAAAAGCTTCTTCTATTCGTCCACAACCATTTGAATCATTTGAGTTACTGGGAGAAGACGTCCTACCCCAAACAGAGGACAACGTAGAGTTATGTATGCTTGTTTTTAAAAATCTATTCTCGCATATTTTCTCGTGAATATGATCTTTGATTTTACTCGATCTTTAACCTTGGTAGCCTTTATTTTCTCTATTTATAGTTTGATTAATACTCTCTAAATTGACAGTTTTGATCCATCCAATATGATAGGATAGTGTTCCGTAGGTCGTCGACAATCTCTTTTTTCTCTCAATTGGCAATAATTTTGTAAGCTAGATTGTTTAATCTTGTTTAACAACTCTATGAACTATATGGCCTAGTCATGATATTCTTCATGATAATTCTGTACAAGTAATATTAATGGCTTTGTGATTATAACAGTTTCCAACCCAACTACTATGTTTTAAATTTACCTGTGGTATAGGGCTAGTATCCAACGTTATATTAGGATAGACCTCATGAACAGCGAAGGCCAAAGCTACTAGAATCCCAGGAGATTTCACAAGTGTCTTCCATACTTATTTGGCCACACGCCCAAAATCGCATATAAATCAGGAACAAATAAGTTCTGTTACAACACCAGCCCTATTTAAGCAAGAAAATAGGTATGAAATACACGAATTCCACAGATACTTGAAAATCGTCGCTATGCGAACAAACACTCCATACGGTCAATAGTTGAAGAGTACGAGTTATCTCTCAAGTAGATAGCTTCATTCGACATCTATCTCACGCTTAAATATGTGAATGAAAGGACACTGAGTGTTCAGTGTAATAATACTGAATCCCAGCTAAACGATCAATCTCAGAAGCCCTACAACGGGATATAGAGTGGCTAACGAAAATTAATTATTCTTGTTAGCCTTATTCAGTATTAAAATTTGGGTACAACATAGAATTTTCAGCTCAAAGTATTTCAACAATTCTCCTTTTCTTATTTCTTGATCAGTACTGACAATAAATATTGAGTGAACGCCAGTTAGAAGTTAGCATTCCAGTCAATCGATATCTAAATAATTTGTAACAGCTCAGGTTGGTTGGTTAAGAGTTGACCCCAAACAACCAAGCTTATGCCAAAACAGTATTGTTCAAGTATTCATTCACTTCCTTATTTTTCATAAGCGTTATATTCCCTATTATCTTGAATGTTGAGAGCCTTTGTTTGTCTGAACAGATAATCCCACGCTCCACTGCGACTGCGCGAAGATCGAAATAAAGACCTATTCACTACTTCTCTGGTTTCTTCTATCAATAGCACGAGGGTTACCTTAAGGCACGAAACTGGTGAGCCCTTTTTGAACACAAATTTAACCTCATTTCTGTTATTAACATTTTTTTTACTTAATCTTAAAAGTAGACCTGATTATCCGTAAACTAATTTGAGTATATAACTAGTTTATTCCGTATTATCTTAAGTTATTCGTGTTATAGTAACCACTTTTTGTGCTAACTTCATTGCTATATTTGTCACATACCTCATGTCAGACTCAATAGAAACACATAATCTGGAGGATTTGTCACCAGTGGAGATAGACACTGTTATGACTACGAGATCCCGACTTCCAGAATTTGATCGTAGTGATCCTGAGTTGTGGTTTGCTCAACTAGAGCATTATTTCACGAGACACAATATCAAATCTGAAGGGATTCGCTATAGAGACTTGTGTTCTATCCTTCCTCCTTCAGTCGCCAAAGAAGTCCGTGACTTGATTTTAAGTCCACCATCACCACAACCATACACCATCTTAAGACAAGAGATAATGAACCGTTTATCATTATCAGATAGTCAAAGAATCCAAAGACTTTTTCAAGGTGAAACACTAGGTGATCGGTCGCCGTCACAGTTTTTACGTCACCTCCAAGTCTTAGTGGGTGATAACACAGTGGGTGAAGCAGTCCTAAAACAAGGATGGATACAAGCTCTCCCATGCTACGTCCAACACTGTTTGGATGCACAGGATCCTGAAACCTCATTATCTCATTTAGCGCGTATAGCCGACAGAATAATGGAAAGAGGTCCTCCAACTGGATCAGGCACAATAAATCACACACAAAAAGTAGAATCAGCAAAAGACCCCGTAATAGAAGGACTCATTGCGAGTGTTAAGAGTCTCACTGAGGCTGTCACCAGAATGCAAATGGGTCATAGAAACAGGAGCAGGTCACCACAACGACCACGATCCAAGTCACAAAACAGGTCACAAATGTCCAGACAATCTGGGCAGTTTTGTTGGTACCACTGGAAGTTTGGTGTCAACTCAACCAAGTGCATGCAACCATGCGCCTGGCCTAAGCATAATTCTAAGACAGCGGGAAACGAGTAACCCCTCCCCAGGTCGCGACGACTGAGGAGGGGCGCCTAAACAGTCGCTTGTTTTATGTTAGAGACAGAAACTCGGGCTTGAATTTCTTGGTGGATACTGGCGCTGCTCTTAGCATCATCCCTCGAAATAAAACTGAGATTAGTCGAGAAACATCATCAATTACACTTCAAGCTGCAAATAAAACTAAAATTGCGACATTTGGGCAGAAAACTTTAACCCTAGATTTGGGGTTCAGGAGGCAATTCCCTTGGGTTTTCACGGTAGCCGACCTAGATCTGGCAATACTGGGGATGGACTTTCTAGAGAGATACGAATTTCTAGTTGACACCAAGAAACGGCGATTAACACTAAAAGAAACTTCGTATTACACAAAAGGCAAAGAAAGTCACATCAACTCTCTTAACTTGATTCAAACTCCCCCAGTAACAACAGCGAAATTCCAAGATATACTCGCGGAATTTCCAAACTTAACTAAACCAAACCCACAGCCTTCTAAAGACAAACCAAAAGTGAGTCACACTATCAAAACCGAAGGTGCACCGGTGTTTGCAAAACCCAGGAGACTAGCACCAGATAAGCTCAAAATCGCTAGGGCCGAGTTTGATTATATGCTACAACTGGGTATCATCCGTCCCTCTGATAGTCAATGGGCATCCCCTTTGCATATGGTCCCAAAGAAGAATGAAGGTGACTGGCGACCGTGCGGGGATTACAGAGCCCTAAACCGTCAAACCGTACCTGATAGGTACCCAATACCTCATATCCAAGATTTCACCAACGGTTTACAGGGTATGAACATATTCACTAAAATTGACTTAGTCAGGGCATATCACAATATCCCGGTGGCTGATGAAGATATTCCCAAGACAGCTATTACTACACCCTTTGGCTTATTCGAGTTTGTACGCATGCCATTCGGCCTGAGAAATGCGGCACAGACATTTCAAAGATTCATAGATAACCTACTTCAAGATATGCCATTTGCGCAGGGGTATATAGACGACTTGTTAATTGCCAGCCCCGATTTGCAATCACACGAACAGCATGTACAAGCAGTGTTGAAAAGACTGGATGAACATGGAATAAACATACATCAAAGTAAGTGTGTTTTCGGTGTTCAAACTTTAGAATTTCTCGGTCACACAATAAACCCAGAAGGGATTAAACCTATAAAAAAAGAAGTGGATACTATCAAACAATACCCCGTACCTAG